TTGTGCTGAGGCCTGGAATGTGCACGCCGGAGTCAGCTGACACGGCCCAAATCCTGCCTCCACCTCCTCACCGAGTGTGTGATCCTGGGCAAGTCACTTAACCTTCTCCCTAAGCCTCGGTTTCCTCATCTGTCACAGAGGGGTGATGCTACTTACCCAGCAGGGTTGTTGAGAGGATTAAATAGGATAATGTGAGGAAAATGCTTAACAAGTTGCCCAGCACGGTGAGTGCTGCTCAGCTAATGAAAGTTGCTAGTGACGATGGTGACAGGGCGGATGGGGCTTGCTCCCCACTCACCTCCTGCCCCCTCCTCCGTTCCCATACCCCTGGATTCAGACCCAGGTCCCCGGCTGCACTTGCCACCTTGGTTGATCCACCCATTTCTAGGGACGCTCGAAACTAGAGTAAGTGAACGAATAGATATTGAGCACCTGCTGCATGCCAGGCAGCTCTGGGAGCTGGTACAACAGATGAGCGCAGCCCGGGGAAGGAAGGCACTGACCTGTGCTGGGTGCTGCAGGGCCCGGGGCAGGGCCCACCCTGGACAGGTCCCCTCGTTGGGCAAACTCAACCCAGTCAGGGAGGACAGGATGGCTTCAGGGGGCAGGGGAGGGGCAGTTGGTGGCAGTTGGGAGCCTTTAGGGGGAGGTGGCATTTGAATGATGCCTTAAAGGATGGCAGCTATGACAGACAGAGCTGGGGGTCTGGGAGCATACTCCCTGGGGACCCCGCCTACAGAATAACTCCCCTTGCAGGACTGCGGGGGAGGGGAGGGTGGTAGAGAGGAAGGAGGCTTGGGGAGAGCTGGAGAGCGTGGTGGTGTGGAGCCTCAGGGTTTCTGAGAGCTGATGCTGGAGGGGAGACGTGCATCCAGAGGGTCCCTGAATGCTGGGCTCAGGGAGGGCCGGGTCTAGAAGCTCCCTGGCACCGGCCTCACTTCTGGGAGGGGACAGCCCGGCCCCTCTCACGTGGGGAAGTGGATGAGAAGGGTGATTCTGTCCCTAAGGCCCCTCCCTGAAGGGGTCTCAGGCACCAGGGCATCTTAGAGACCTCACCCCAACTCAGCCTCCATACACCATCTGCCTCAGCAGCATACCATCGCTACCACTTACTTCCCAGTTCAGCAGAGCCC